GATTTGAGTGTAATTTGAGTCTTTAAACATAATGCAAAATTAAATTCCCTTGCATTACTAATATCTAAAAATTAATGGTATTAATAATACACACTAAACAATATTTATTTTATATGATGATTTCATTATTATTTTTTATTGAATATTTTAGTGTCGTCAGTACTCATCTCATATTTTGTGCTATTTTCTTAAGAAACACCTTAGATAATTGTATTTTGGTTGGACTAAAGAAATATTTGGAGCACAAGTTAATTATATGTTTGTATGCAAACTTTACCAAAAAAATCCAAAAATCTGAAAAAATTCGAGGTTTATTAGTTTGGTTTGATTTATTCGACACAATGGTTTGGTTTGGTATTTGAAAAACCCGAAAAAATTTATATTTTTGTTTCCTAAAATGACTGGTTATGTGTTGGGTCGGGTCTTCTTTGGACCAGCTCTTCATGTAATGGTCCATTAATAAAAGGGCTTGCCCATCTTTAAGTTAAAAAAAAAAAAAAAAATGATCATAATTTAAAAGTACTAAATCATGCTAAAATAAGTTTAATAAGTATTAGTTACATTACTAAATATTTAAGGAAAATTAAAATTAGATTATGTATTTTAATTGTCTAAACCAATGTAAAACTAAAGAACAAATATTCAATATTATTGTCATTCTTAGTGTTGAATTGATTTTCTTTTTGCATTAGTATTAATTTGATTTTGATTAAGTTTTATTATAATTATCAACGTCTATGAACTATAATCTTTATTGGACCATTCCGAATTCTAAGTTTTAAACTTGAAATAATATATTAAAAGATAAAAACTATGAAATAATATAAGAAATATTTTAAAATTATATCAAAGTAAATATTTTTATGTATAAAATAAAATTTAAAATTACATATATAATGTCGGGTTGGTTTGGTCTTGGGTTGGTTTTTTTTAGTTAAAACCAAACCAACCCAAATATAGCCGGTTTTTTTTTTCCAATACCAAACCAAGTTAAACCAAATCACTAGTCGGGTTTTTTTTCCGGTTTGACTCGGTTTGCGGTTTGATTCGATTTTCAGTTCGGTTTTGTACACCAGTGGCGGATCCAGGATTTAGAGTCCGTGGGTGCCAAATAGACTTATCGATTAAATTAATTTTATATTTGATTAAATTATTTGTCTTTTCGATATATATCATAAATCAATCAAAAAAATATAAATAATAAGATATTACACTTTTATTGAGTATTTAATCAAATAAAAGAAAAGTCAAAGGAGTAATAATGTAATTAATTTAATTTAAGTCAATAACAATTATAAAAAAAAAATAAAAAATTGTGCCAGCTGTTTTTCCTTAAAAAACGTGCTTGGAGCCTTTTTTTTCTTAAAAAACGTATGAAGCAAATTTCTCAAAAAAATAGGTACAAATGGGATTCGAACCCGCAACATCAGTCTTCTAAAGTTGCCCTCCTACCGGGCACCACAAGCCAGTTTTGTTTTGTGGGTGGCACACTTTATATTTATATAAATATTATATATATATATATATATATACCTATGTATATATAGAGTTTCCGTCGAAGTTCGGGGGTGGCATGGCACCCCCACAGCCCTTCATAGATCCGCCACTGCCCCTAACCCTAACTATTATTTTTAAAGATTGAACTTTATTTATTTATAACAAGAGTCTGATTATGGCAAAGCAATCGAAATATATGAAAGAAATATTATCTAAATGAAATATTAAGTAGACAAATTTTACTACATATTTGTACCTCAAGAAAGAAATTTGGAAGTTAAAAGAATCACAAATATCCAATTGAATTTTTTATTGTTCATGGTCACCATACATCGATCACATTGATTATTCACAAAAAAATATACTTTATTTTTAATTTAATATATCAATATTTGAAATTTTTTATTTTTATTTTACTGATAGTAATTTATAAAACTATCTACTACATAGCTTGACATATACGTGCAAAATACATTTAAGTCAAAAATATTTTTTTATAACAAAAAGAACCATTCAACTTTATCCGAGATATCTAAATAATTTTTGTAATAAGAAAATCACTCTTTGTACCCTCTCTATCCCTAATTACTTGTCCACTTTTTCTTTTATAGTTTTTTCTAATTATTTGTTCATTTTGACAAATCTAGAAAGGACAGTGTTTTTTTTACCTATTATACCCTCAATTAATTACTTTAAAAATAAAATAAAATTTGTAATTCATCTACTTCATAATTAATAGGGGTAAAATGATAAACTCACTATGTCAAAAATTATTTTCTTAATAGGTGTGTCAATTCAAAAGTGAGCAAGTAATTAGGGACGTATGGAGTGTTTTTTATAGATAGAAATTACAAAGGATAATTTAATGATTTTGCTAAATAACTTTTCAAACTTGTGTGACCTTTTACATCACTAACTCTTAAAATGTACTTCTTCTGTCCTAATATATGTGACATTTTTCGAATTTCGAGATTCAAACAAGTCTAATTTTTTACCGTAAAATTTTCATATATCTTTTAATTATTTTGAATTGTCAATTATTGTGACATATAATACTCTTTTTACGTAGTTTACAAATATATAAATTTCATTTAAAAAAATTAAAAATTTAACTTAAACTATTTGACCTTTGAAAATTGAGAAAGTAGAGTATATAATTTAATTTAATATTTCTTTTGAGTGACTTTGATTGATTATCTTTCACTAGAGTAAGAAAAAGTTGATTGGTTATCCATGAAATGAACTCAATCTTGTGCAATTTGTCTCTCGTGATTGATTTAGAATATATATGCTACACTTGATGAAACATAGGAAGACGTGTCATGTCCTTATATCTTCCAATCCATTTCCTAAGAAAACAGAGAGACCCACCAAACACATTCTTCTTTTCTCTTTCACTGTTCCATTAATCTAGCTCAATTTGGAGGTGCCTATAGTTAGAGAAGAAATGGAGGAAAGTGTATTGTGCCAGTGGAGTGTGATTAGATCCATTTTTGCTATTCTTTAATGTTGCTGTTATTATCATGGATCTTTCAGGTGTCTCTTTTTTATAACATCGTGATTTTGGTTCTTCATTACATATAATGTTGGTTTATTATTGTTCTCCAGTATACTACATGGCTCCCTATGATACATGGCTGGGGTTGTAGAATGGTTATACAGTTTCCCCTCAGTCGTCCCATCCATGCACTTCTTATTTTTCTCTCCGGAGTGCTAGCTTTCTGCCTTAACTTCTCTATCTGTCACTTTCAATGTTGCTGGAAACCTTAAGGTGAGTTCCTCTCTTTTTTTCTCCCACCGACATTCACTTCCACTCTTCAGGTTTCATGTTGAAATCAGACCAAATACAAGATCCCAAAATCCAATCTCAGCTCCTGGGATCATCTGGAGTGACGCTTCTTGGATGCACGCACATTTTATGGCACAAGAGTTTCCTCGATGGAATTTGTTCCTCTAGTACATGAGAAAGCACCAAGACTAACATAACCTTTAAAAATCACAAATCAGGTTTCCTCAATTTTGCAAAAGACAGATTATTCGACTAGACTCACTTCTCCCCTTATCGGTGCTTAATTTACATTGTATCTTTTAGCATATAACTTTTTTGTTCTAGTTCCTGCATATAAGGACGTCATTTGATAGGTAAATAAGCTCTAAAAATATCACATCTTCACAGCGACTAAGAAACTCTAGTCATATTGTTAACTCACTGAGAATACCCATGCCTAATCTGTAGTGGAAGCATCCAAATGCATGAACTCATAAATATTTGGCTGATAGATAGTGAAACTCAGCTCATGGCATAGTCCCAGGAACAAAGGTACAAAAGTGGCGCAGCGTCAATAATACCACAAATTAAACTTGGATCTCGACCTCCTAACAGACTACATGAGAGAGGAAAGGGGAAAAAAACAATTGTAAATCACTAAGTTTCTAGAAAAAAACTCAGAATTACACCACTTTCCCCCCTTACGATCACCTTCCCATTCTACTAACTGAAGCATGATATTTCACAGATCTTAGTGGCCGCTTGTTATTTTGCCAGAAAACACTTAGCTTCGTCATAAACAAGCTACAACAATGGCTTTCAGATAATAAATGCTGGTGCAGGTGACTTTCCATCTCTGTTTTGAGCATCTCCACCTGCATGTTTTTGATGATAAGCAATGTAAGTAGCAATTTCCCTTCCATAATACTTATACATTATGTGTGTGTGTGTGGATTATATTGCCTTCTGTAATTATGAAACACAAGATGCTCATTGAATAATAAGTTATTTCCACAATGACAAATTCAGTTATTCATAAAATTTATGAAAATTGACCCACCACTTTTTTCCCATAACCGAGAAATCCGAGGGCCAATAGACCTAACCACACATCACAAGCTGCGATCTTACAACTAGACCAAAGGCCAAGGGGCAATTGATCCACTGCTTATTCTAAATTAAAAAATCCTGTCTAATTCACTAATTCACCGGAAGACACTGAATTTTCTCTTCCCTATTCTTGGTCTGAAAATAACAAAGGCCACAATTGAGAACTCGATTTTGGTTCATTACCAAGTTCATATTAAGAACTCGTCTATATATATATCAGTAACAAAAGGCTTTTAACAATTAGCGACAATATAAAGTTAATTCCGGGTAGTTGCAAAAGATTGTGTCAGATGAAGTCCTATTCAAAGTTGTATGGTTTTCAATGTCAATCACAAAACGCCACTTCTTGTTATTTGACATCCACCAGTGGAAAAGGAGCTCAAGAAGAAAAAGAAATGACTTGAGGTAGATCTGAGGCAAAAACAAGGTCAAGGATCTGTTCAGTGTTCACCACCTTCCTGAAAGGGCCACTAGCATCTCATGCCCTTAAGGTCAAACTTTTATTCTGCTTATTAAAAAACGGAGTTAAGCCTTTCAAGTGCCATCACTAGCATCGACATCTCAGTCCACCAATTCTACCTCAGAAGGCAGAAGCCATCTTTGAGTTGACTTTTCTGGTGTGTTATTCTCCCATTTTTCCCTTTTCTTTTCTACCCAAAATGTTCTATGTGAAGAATAACATGAAACTTCTGCTATTGACAGAAAACTTCATGTATTACTTCCTGTAAATACAAGTTTAGGAATTCAGCCCAAGTTTATACTTGGTCTCTAACATAATAAGTTTGATAGTCAGAAGCTAAAACCCTCCAGGAATCAATATTGGGGAGATGTTCACAACTTTTTCTTCTCTCTCAGAGAAGTTCTATGCAAATTATACCTAACTTTTGCCTCTGTCGTATTAGCGAGATCATTAGCTCTTCTTAGCCAGGGAAGGAATACCCCAAGAAAAACATATTATCCAGAGTTTCTCAATCAACCAGTCATTGTTAGACAAAAAGAAAAAGAGAACTTCACATCCTCTTAATCATTTCGACTGAGGTCACTAATGGGGGTCTTTCTGCTAGGATTGCCTTGTAAGAGAAACTTGCATCAATCAAATATTTACTCATAGATTATCTTGGCTTGCTCAAAGCCACTGATTTCTGGCACAAATCCAACTATTTTTTCACTGCAAAATTCAACGTACAATGCCATAGTCCTTATTTATCATATAAAAAGATTAGCACATGATCTCCTAAAATACATAAGGCAAAATGGTCTGGTAGACCCTTGTACTTGTATGTGTTTGTATTGTGAACCCTTCTACTTGCCCCTTTGTCATCTAAACCCCCGAACTTATTGAAACACAATATTTTAAACACTATTTCTGACTTGGCATCCTATGTGGCATCTAATACCAGAGTGCGTGTAAAACACACCTATTAGGAGCATGAGACCCTTGGAAAAGGGTCTAAAAGTCACATTAGGGCTTTTATATAGCCATCATCTTCCTAGTTGGATCTAACACCATTGTTGGATAGAATTTGAGGTTTTCTTGGCCATTTATTTTTTTATCTTTTCCCCCCAAATTTCTTCTCTATTGTTTATTGTCATAATACTGCTCTCTTTATTATGAAACACGCCATGGAAGGTAAACACTACTCCCAAACATCTTACATTAACATTAAGCATAAAACAAAGCAAAATTTCCAAAATTTTTCAAGAAAATCAATGTAATTGACTAAAACCCAAAACCAACAAAGACACAAATAAAAGATCAAATCCAGATTAACCAACAATTAAATTCGAAAATAAATTGAAAAACCTACCTAGATAAGTTGAAAATCAAACAAAAACAACAAAAAAAAACTCAAATAATTTTCGAGACCCTGTTTCAGTTATCCACCACTCAAATGGCCCTGTTTCAGATCCAACCAAACACAAACTTACTGCCTTCCTCTAGTCCTCTTCACCTTCTCCGACCAAAACGCCTTCATTCTCACCGCCTCCAACAAGCTTCAGCCACCAGCAACTATAAGCGAGAACCAACAACAACAACAACAAAAATACCAAACCAACTCAGCCAATAAGTCTCGACCTTCCTAAAGCCACCTGCCCCAAGCTCCGGCGAGATTGTGAACAACTAGAAACAATCAGACCCCCACTCTTCCTTAGGCCACCAAAACCCCAAATCCAATAAAATTCAAAATCAACTCCGAACTCCGACGAGATTGTGAACAATCAGAAGTCATGCCAACATTTTTTACTTCAATGGAAAGAGTAGAAGATGTAGGAAAAAGGAAAAGGTAAGGAAGATTAAAGAAGGGATGAAGTGAAATTGTGGGGATGGAGACAATTATAGAAAAAAGAAATAAAAATTAGAAAGAAAAGTGTTGCTACATTAATCTAATATAATAAAAAGAAAAATGACGTGGAGTGACTATATGTGTGTCATTTTATAATCATACGTGTCATTTTATAATTATTTTTAAAATTATGTGCCAGGCTTTTGTGATACACACACAATTGAGTAGTAAAAAATGTTTAAAATGTTGTGTTTCGATGGGTTCAGGGGTTCAGATGACAAAGGGGCAAATAGAAGGGTTCACAATACAAACACATACAAGTACAAGGGTCCACCAGACCATTTTGCCAATACATAAAAGAGAAAAGATAGAACTAAATATAGTTTCAAAATCTCAAACACTTAAAGAGGGGATATTTTAGAAGTTGCTACAGCCTACAAGAATTTTGCTGTCACCAAACTCACAAGATTTAAATCTAAAAAGAACTACACCGAGTTCGAGAAAACAAAAAAGAACAGAAGGCTCTTTTCTTATAACCAAGAAATCCCCAAGGGTCAATGGTGCATGGTTTGGAACTCGGTGGACAATGTGCTTGTCCCTCTACCCTTCCCCACAGTTTGAAACTCACAGGATCTCATAAAGTGATAGGATGGTTTTACATTGATAAATCTTACACCTTTAGCTAAGAATTTATGTACGAAATATTTGAGTATAGCAAGCTTAAGGAGGAACTCTTTTTTTTTTAAACTGGTAACTTCTTAAGGAGGAACTCTTTCAAGAGAACACAATTAATACCATGCAATGGTCTACACACCACATTCAGGAAAGATGGTTAAACAACACAATCCTCAAGGATGAATTCCCCGACATTTTTCAAATTCTAGTGAGCCAAACTCCATATCTCTCAGAATAAAGAAGGCAAAACCTGCAACTTCTTTCTAAAAGGAATCTCCAGGCTGGAAGGATACAGATTGAATTTGCCGGCAGCAAATAAGTTAAGATGGGGCAGTGCATATGATGGCAGGTACTCAGGTAAAGCGGGTTATGCAAACTCGTGCTACAAATAATTTGATTTACTACTGGCCGTGGAAGTTTAAGCTGCCCAAAAAAATTAAATGTTTCTGCTGGACACTATAAAGCATGCACCCAAGACAATCTCGAGAAAAGGAGCGACCAAATAGTCAACGGATGCTACATGTGTCAACAGGAGGTAGAAACCAACAGTCACTTATTCCTCCACTGCAAAATTGCTAGTCACATATGGTGCTTGTTCTACTCTATTTTTGGTCTCCGCTGTGCAATCCCACAGATCATTTAAGAGGCCAATGAAGGTTGGAGTAGTTGGAAAGTTGATAAGGCCATCAAGGAAATCTGGAAATGATACCTGCAAGTATGTGGACAAAGAGGAACAGAAAGATGTTTTGATGGTTCATCAACTCCAAATTATTCCATCAAGGCCCAATGGCTGATGTGTCTATTTATGTGGAAAAATATTTCTCTGGTAGATTACCCTGAAACCTTTTTGAACTTTGTTAGCTCCCTAGCACTAGCATAGTTCTTTATGTAATGCAGCTACAAAGGTTTTCTGTTAGTATTTGCATCTTCTTGATGCCAGTAATGAAATCTATTATTACTTCATCAAAAAATTTCATGTGGTACTTTATTACATTTTGCAAATAAGCTATGAATTTAATAAACCATTGCACGAATACAATATTGGGAAGATCTTCACAACTTTTTCTTTTCTCCTAAAAGTCTACCATTCACTAGGACTGAGAATCTGGTCATTGATAGGGAGAACTTAATCCACATCCTGTCTACAACGTTATGAAATCCAAGAACTCCCAATTCACATGATCACATGAGCTCTCAAGGTCTAATATACTCCCCTACCTCCTTCTGGAGTCAACCACTCCATTAAGTGCATGTGTTAACATGTTAGGATGTTCCTACTAGACATCTTTTGAGTAACTTTATCCTAAGGATGGTACAATTCTCATTTATGACAATTTTTCATTAATGACACTTACATTTCTGTTAGGAGAGCTTTCCTTTAAAAGACTGGCTTTGTAGACTATTGAGCATTTTCTAGCAGGGCATTTGGACTCTTCGCAATGAATTTCCATATTTATCGGCAATGTCTACCTTTCTGGTGTTCAATGTTTAATGAAGAATCTAGCTTGCTTTTCTCTTTTTCTTTATAATGGTGGTGTTTGGACCAATTATTCCACAGCTTTACTACCACAGGGTACATGCTGCCTCCCACCAGCACAAGTATCGAATAACTCTGCCAACAAGTTGATTTTTGTCATTGCTGGAACTTGAACCCTGCTCCCAAGGTTTCCACCCACTTCATAAATTACTAGGCTATAATCTTGTGTGCTCTGAAAATTCTTCTTGTTTTTTCTTGTTGAGTCAGAGTTTTCAAATATCTTGTGTCTGTTGAAATATCGAAAAGGCAAGAGACTGCCCTGTTTTGACTTATCGTCCACCTATTGCTAATGTTTCCATGATTGTCCGTAGCTAGAAACATAATTTGGTGTACAATGACATGATTTCTCTATTGATGAAGCTAGGCTTAATCAGCGGAGTGGATGATCACCAAAAACTGTCTAAAAGAATTGTAATATGTGAAGGAGAATAGAAAGGAGGGACAGGAAAAGATTATCAAGGTTTTGCCACTTTGGTAGATTCTCAGTGGTCCGATTCAAGAGTGAAGCAAAAATTAACCAGTATAAAATAATATAAAGATAACCATAATAAGTTAAGTGGATTTTTATTATTTCAAAAATGAAAACATTAAGCAGAGGTAATACTACAAAATTTCGTACTGTGATTATATTTTCTGATACCTCATATATACGACTTCTAATAGCATAATCACTTTATTTGGTAATTTTACCAATTTTTGCAGAAACATTACTTCAACTATCATTTCACTAGTTACACGAATGGTGTGTTTACTATTTTATCATAAAGCTTGAAGAACTTTGCTTCCCAACATCCTGATTCTTGAAGAAATGAAAGTCCAGAGAGATTTACTTCAATAAATGCAAAAGGAACACCAAAAGTAGCATATGATGAACGATGATAAGGAAGGACATGGAAAATGCTGCGAGAGCAGGCGAAAGATCCAATTAATGGAATGAGCAACATTCACCCACTAACAGTCTAATATAGTTATAAAGAAATGATACACTTAATTTTTATTTTTTGATGAAGTAATAAATTTCATTAGAAAAGGGTAAAAGGTTGCTCATATACAAGAAGTATACCAAAAGTAGAAAACCTTACAAGAGGACATGATTTTCTACAAATAATACCCACTCATCTATACATATAGAAATGATACACTTATAAATGCATCTGGTTTTTACTTCTTCTATGAAATTCCATTCCACCATCATACATCTTTGATTGTTTGTAGCAAAAGACTATATCAATAGGGGTTACGACACCAGGTGAGCGCTTGCTTCACCAGCTCTTGCACCCATACAATTTCAAGTAATCACATTTCTATAAAGCAAACTAGGCTTCATCAACCTGAGGTTTCTAAAGAACTTATCCTTGGTAAGTGCTGCTATGTTTATAGTGCTTTTAGTAACTAGATCAAGTCTAAACCTTGCTATATTTTGGATAAACCTCTAGGTTCCACCTGTCCACATAAAATTTCGTTGAATATAATAACAGCCACAAGACCAAATGAATACTTGTATCAGACTTGATCTAATACAGAAATCTGAACACTTTGAAGCAGCAAAACCGGGGCATATACAATGAAACCCCATCAAGTACTTATTTCTAGTAACCAACCTAATCTCAATCCCTCAAATTTGTGATCATAATTTATCTAACAAGTTGACCCAGCAAACTTATGGGAGGTAAAACCCTAAACCCTAACAACAGACTAAACCCAACCGCCTTAAATTTCTTTCAGCCCCTATTCCTCTAATTAGTGACCATTTTTCATAGAGCAAAGTACAGAAGAATCATTGACACCCAAATCCAGACAATCCAAACCCACAAAATCATTTGCAGCACAGCTAATTTGTGCAATTCTCAGAAAGCCCAAATGCTATAATTCCAGCAGATAGAGAAAGAAATAGAGAAAAGTCATACCAGAAGTCGATGTGGTGGTTTGGACTTCTCCATAAATGGCTTTAAGCTTAGAGAGTGGAATAAGGGGATTGGGTAAATCAGCTTCAGCAAAAAGCTGCTGCTTCCAATCCCACATAGTCTTCTTCATAGCTTTATTAGAATTGAGCAAAGAGTCTTTTTCTGCCTCAAGAACTTCCATATTCTTTTGTTGCTGCACTGATCTCAGACATAGCAACCCAAATGCACTCATTAACACCACATTCAACACTTTGTTGCTGTTCAGCGCTTTGCTCACTGCGTCTCCGACTTTGCTTGCCAACTCCATCCCTATTTGCTTAAGGACCTCGTCACCTGCTATGATATGTCCCCAACACTCTTTCTTTCTTTTAGCCTGGTCTTCATTACTAGCATTTTTCTAATTAAAATTATTTTATATAGGAAAAAAGATCAAATATGCCCTAAACTATTCGAAAAGGTTTAAATATACCTTCCGTTTAAAGTTTGGCTCACTCATGCCCTCGCTGTCCAACTTTTCGTCTAGATATGCCCTTATGGGCGTTAGTTGGTTAGCTGGAATTGCCACATCATTTTTACGTTACCACGTGACATTTATATTAAAGGAAAAAGGGTCAAATATGCCCCTAAACTATTCGAAAAGGTCTAGATATACCCCGTTTAAAGTTTGGCTCATTCGTGCCTTCACTATCCAACTTTTTGCATAAATATGCCCTTATGGGCGTTAGTTGATACGCTGGAAATATCCAGCTCATTTTCCCTTTATTTAAATGCCAAATGAAATTGTCACGTCACTTTAAATTACCACGTGTCATTTTTATGAAAATGGAAAGGGATCAATTATGCCCCTAAAATATTCGGACCCATATCCGAATTAGGAAAATGAGCTGGATATTTCCAGCGTATCAACTAACGCCTATAAGGGCATATTTATGCAAAAAAGTTGGACGGCGAAGGCACAAGTGAGCCAAACTTTAAACGGGGGGTATATCTAGACCTTTTCGAATAGTTTAGGGGCATATTTGACCCTTTTTCCTTTAATATAAATGTCACGTAGTAATGTAAAAATGACGTGGCAATTCCAGCTGGCCAACTAACGCGCATAAGGGCATATTTAGACGAAAAGTTGGACGGCGAGGGCATGAGTGAGCCAAACTTTAAATGGGGGTATATCTAGACCTTTTCGAATAGTTTAGGGGAATATTTGACTCTTTTCCCTTTTATATATGACTTATTTTGTTGAAAAGCGAAGTTGGGAAAACAAAAAAGAGAAAAATGATGCGCATAAACAAATATTTATTAGTTAATTAATTAATATAATTAGAGTTTGATTAATTATGACTTACTACTAATTTCTAGGAAAAATTATGAGGTTGAGTTTCAGTTGTATAAATGTGTCATTTTTGAAATTTGTACAACTTTTCTATAATGTAATTTGTATAACTGCTTAGACTTCAGATGTTTGTGTTTGTATAAATTCGTTATTTCGAATTTAAACAAAAATAAATACAAATCAAATGATACTAACCAGTTTATACAAACACGGATTATCTTTTGTATAGTGTAATTTGTATAATCATTTAAAGTTCAGATGTTTGTGTTTGTGTAAATTCGTTATTTTGAGTTTATACAAAATAAATACTAATCAATTTATACCAACCAGTTTATACACATACGAACAAAAATAACTCAATTATGTAAATACATGTGAATTATACAAACATATGCGAATTATACAACCGTACACGCAAATTATACAAATAAGGTCGCCCATAGCAGCTTAAACTATATGTATGACCCCTAAATATGCAAACTATAGCTAAGGAAACTAATTAAGTCTATTATAGTGATTATTTGTAAAATCCCCCCAGCCCCCACCCACCAAAAAATAATCATTAAAATGTACTTTATTAGCACTTTTAAAACACTGAAATTTATTTTAAAAATAAATATTTAAATGTTTGGATAAATATGCTTAAACTGAAAAATAAATTTATTGGTGTCTTGGATACACAACTGCTCTTATACACTTTTTTTTGTTAAAATACTTGTAATATTCTCAAATTTTTAACATTATAAAATGTTAATTATTACAAATTTTTACTACTATAATAAATCAAATTAAAATTTAATTTATATTCTAATTTAACTTCAATATAAATTGATTATATAAGTTAATTTATATGTGTAAATTATTTTTAATTTTTTAAAATAGAGTCATATGCATGTCAAATATTCATAGCTTTTCAAGACTTCAAGTACTTTTTTTTGTTTAATGTCCGAGAACAAACATGTTATTTAGCGGTGGATAATGTAACGATTTCGAATGTCATTTTTAGATTTTTTTGGAAAATTACCATTTTACCTTCCTCAAAAGTTGCACCGAGCAATATTGTTCGATTGGTATGGTTGGTTTGGGAACCGGAGTGAAAAGTTGTGAGTTTTGAAAAAGATTTTGGTTTTTGAAGGTTTTAAAGTTGAAATGGTTGACGTTAATCAACATTTGGAGTTTCTAGTATCGAAATAGAACTCCGTCGATTCCATCAGCTCCAGAACATGAATTTAAGGTTGATAGGACTATTGGCTCAAGTCCTGAGGCAGTTGAATGAGTTTTGAAATAATTTTTTGTGTTTTGAAAGTTGAAAGGATAAGATAATTGACCGAAGTCAACATTTGGTGATAACAAACTCAGAATGAAATTTTGAAAGTTCTGTTAGCTCTGAAATGTGGTTTTTGGTCTAGATTTACTGTTGGTTTGGTCCTAAGGTTTCTATTTGATTTTGAGCCATTAGACGAGATGCGGGAAAAATTAAGGCTAAAGTTTGACTTTAGTCAACGTTTGAGGTTAGAAATGTCATTTTCAAGTTTTGATGATTTCACTAGGTTCGAAGGGTAGTATTTGGCCTAGTTGAATGTCTATTTTAGTTTTCGAAACTTTTGAATGAGCTTCATATCCTTTTATTTGAAAATTTAGAAATTCTTAAGTTAAAGTTAACTTTGGTCAACATTGGGTTAAGGTGACCTTCATGTCATTGTGTCTGAAATATCATTTTGAAGGTAGTAGTGTCACGACCTGAGTCTACACCCTGGATGTGGCCAGCACTCAAGAACCATTGATGGTCCCCAAGCGAACCATCATCTTGGCTGACTACAAGCGGAAGACTAACTTAAGCATGCAAAAACTTAAAACTGAATAAAATTCAATAAACTCAACTTTTCAAAACTTTAACTCAAATGAACAATTTAGAATAAAAATAATATATTCGACTCACCATAAAATAGGTAACTTAAGTCTTTAAAACATTTAATAAAATAAATGAATAATATAGACTTTTCAACTATACTGACTATCTATAAAGCCTCTAACTGATAAAGATGAAAGTTGGGACGAAGATCCACGACATCCTGACTAAACTGAAAAGTAAATGAATTCCCTCGGAAATAAGGAGGCTCACCATAGCTAACTCGAACTCCCGGATGTATCAACGAATCTCCTGTTGATGATCCCGAATACCTGTGTCTGCATAATGAAAAGATGCAGGCCAAATGGCTCAGTACGTGGAATGTACGAGCATGTAAGGAGAATTCTAAAACATAAACATAAGCTTGAAACTTGATAAAAAAGAAACATACTTACCTCTCTCGAACTTACTCAACTCAAGGAATACTCAAGGATACTAAAAACTACTCAAACTTACTCAACTCAGAAGTACTCAAGGATAAGATACTCAACTCAGAGATAAGATACTCAACTTAAAGATATGATATTCGACTCTGGGTACTCAACTCAATATAAATCAACAATACACGTGCAATATATGGAAAGCTTTATAAAACAGTAAAAACAACTTAGTTCGTTAAAGAAAATGCAATAACAAACTCAACTTTACTTATATCATAAAGTAATATAGTTCTTGTGGGAGTTTCTCTAACCGACAACCACCACTATGAGCCTAAGTGGTGACACATCTTTTTACCTCACGCTGCCAATGACCGTCCTATACCTTACCGGGAGTGTAGAACCTAACTCACTAAGTGGATCCACTAGTCTATGCTAAAAAGCACTAAGGAATCATCTAAAAAGTATGACCTTTTTCTACCCATGATGGCTACATGGTTTATAGAGACTTGAGTTAATATGAGCTTGCATCCCCATATCGGTGCTCAATACTACTTCCAAAATATACTTAGCTCATGTGTTTGTAAAAACAAAACTCTTTCTTTGGCTTAAGATAATTACTTAAAACTTAGCTTAAAAGCTCTCTTGGAAATCATAGTTTCCTCTTTACTAAAAAAAACTAGCTCAAAGGCTCTTTTGAAATCTCAGTTTCCTTTCTTGTTTAAATGTGAAAACATTTACTCTTTGAAAATACATAGTCCCGATATACTCTTTTGAAGAAATGAACTCAACTCTTTACTCTTTACTCTTTTCTTAACTCAAAACTTACGTTTTAAAACAAAGTTAAAACGTTTGTAAAAAACTTCTTAAAATATGGTTCATGCCGAATTATGGACGTGAACGACTCAATGCAAGGTTTTCAATACTTGGAACTCAAGAACTTCAATAATACTACTCACTTCAAGAATGCTCAACTTAGAGGGTTCATGCGGAATTTATGAGCATGAACTACTCAACTCAAGGACTCAAAGATACTTCTCGTCTCAAGACTGCTCGACTTATAGGGTTCATGCGGAATTATGGACATAAATAACCCAACTCAAGGACTTCATGGGTAACATGTAATAGTCCCATGATTAGGAATGTAATCTCAAATGGGTTAGAAACTCAATACTTTAGACTTAGGACATGAAGATATTACTCCTCTCATAGATACTCAACTTCTGGAGTTTATGCGAAATTTAATGGCATGAACGACTTGACTCGTAGGTCTACATAACATTACGGAACTCATGTATACAACTCTTCTCATTCTCATACTTAATTACTCAAAACTTTAACTCAAATTGATAATAGATCTGAAAGGTTTCACAATTGAACTCAAAGGCTTTCTTGAACTCTACTCTTAACTCTCTCTTGAATGTGAATTATGAATTCAAGAGTTATGGTTCATGATATGAAAGATCTCATGATGACAAAGTAGACTCATGAATACATTCTCCTCAATCTCATACTCACTTGCTCGAGTTTTAAAACAAGTTACTAGAAGTTGTAGAAGACTCCACAAAATGACTCAAAGGGACTTTCTTAGAATGTTCGAAAGAATTCTCAAAACTCAACTCTTAACTCTACCTTGAATTTGAATTATGAATTCAAGGTTATGATCATGTTAGGAATGATTTTAGGTGTTTAGAAGTAGCTTAGAGTAGCTAGAATTGAAAAAGAGTGAAGGTACCCTTTGAAAGAACTCAAACGAAGCAACCGATTGCAAACTGGATGGGGCAGGCGACCCTGGGGCTATGGGTGGCGCTCTGCGCCAGCCCACCCTCCATCGTGTGAACTCTCCGGTGCAATAATTATTGATTGATTTACTTTAACCTTGTAAAGCAATAAAACTATTGTACCTCCCATTTTCGTTGTACTTTAGTGTGCAGAAGAACTCAGAGAAATGGTCCTTCATTTTCCATCTCTTCTTTGTATTCCCATGTATTTTTGATACTTCAATAAATACCGACGCCAACCACCTTAAAACTTTTTTGCTAATCTTAACTCTTCGCACTAAATATCTGCAACGTTCCACCCATTCGTACCATGATTCCTCCCCTGAACTGCATTTAGTGATTTCGTATGATGTAAAACCTACGTTGTAAAATATTGTATTGCCTTCCATTCCCTCTAACTCCGGTGAGGTCTCCGGAAATGGCCCCTGTAAATCAGTAGCAAAGTGTTTACCTAGGTCTCAAAAAACGTGCCTGGGAGCATTTTAAAAAAAATTGTATTTTACATTCCCCCCTAGGCAAGTATTGGGCTTTCCACCTTGATAATTTCGTCTCACATCTTTCCAGGACATTGTCCCAAATTCCCTTGGACCTTGATTGGGCCCCCAATGGCATCCCTAGATATATAGAGGGTAGGATTTCGACTTCTCCTCCCAGAATTGAGGCCAAGAGGTTAATGTTTGGGACATTGTATATGGGATATATGTGACTCTTCTCCCAATTAATGTGCAAACTTGAAATGCCTTCAAAGAGTACTAGGATCACTCACAAGTGTCTTAATTGTTCCTCTTCTGCACCACAAAAAATCAATGTATCATTTGCGTATTGTAGATGTGTCACCTCTAGACTTTCTCCATTGTTTTTAGCCACTTCAAAACCAGATAACCAGCCTTCAGCCCATATAGGAAAATACAAACCTATGCACTGTTCTGCAGAAATAGAAACAATTACCATTTTCAAAAAATAAACCAGATAACCAGCCATTGACCTTTGCTGTCTTAATCATATTATTGAGACCCTCCATGGCTAGGACGAACAGAAAAGGGGACAGAGGGTCCCCTTGTCTTATTCCTCTTTGAGCTGAAAAAATCCTTTCGGTGATCCATTTATCACAATTGAGAATTTTACAGTTGAGATGCAGAATCTGTTCCACTTGATCCACTTCTCCCCAAATCCCATTCACTTGAGAGTGTTGATTAGAAGCCCCCAATACACATTTTAATTCTTGTTTTTTATTTGCTGAACTCTTCCAACTAGGTCCATAGTGATGATGAGGTCCAGGACCATAATGCTGATGACGTCCAAGCTGATAATGGTGATGAGGTCCAGGGAGGAGGCGGCGGCGATGATGAGGGCCAGGTCTCCAGCTTGCCTAATGATAATGAGGTCCAGGGATTAATGGTACAAATTTAAAGTTTTCTTTTCATTTGCTGAAATCATTTTTTTTTTGAGAAAGTTTCATTTGCTGAACTCTTCCAACTAGGTCCCTAATGATGATGAGGTCCAGGACCATAATGCTGATGAGGTCCACGGAGGAGGCGGCGACGATGATGATGGGCCAGGTCTCCAGCTTGCCTAATGATAATGAGGTCTAGGGATTAACGGTAAAAATTTAAAGTTTTCATTTCATTTGCTAAACTCTTTTCTTTTTGAGAAAGTTTCATTTGTTGAACTCTTCCAACTAGGTCCGTAATGATGATGAGGTCGGGGACCTTAATGATGTCCGTGATGCTGGCATCGATGTCACTGGCCAGGTGCAACAAACAAAGGTAAAATACTAATAGCAATGACCTCAGTGTTCACTACTTCCCAACAATATTTGAAAAAGGCCACTGTGAAACCATCTGGGCCAGGTGCTTTATCCCTTTTCTTTGCTGAACTCCAACTAGGTCCGTATTGATGATGAGGTCCAGGACCATAATGCTGATGAGGTCTAGTGTGATAATGGTGATGAGGACCAGGGAGGAGGCAGCGACGATGATAAGGGCCAGGTCTCCAGCTTGCCTAATGATAATGAGGTCCAGGGATTAATTATACAAATTTAAAATTTTCTTTTCATTTGCTGAACTCTTTTTTCTTGAGAAAGTTTCAGTTGTTGAACTCTTCCAACTAGGTCCGTAATGATAATGAGGTCGGGGACCTTAATGATGTCCGTGATGCTGGAATCGATGTCATTGGCCAGGTGCAACAAGCAAAGTAAAATACTAATAGCAATGACCTCAGTGTTCACTGCTTCCCAACAATATTTGAAAAAGGCCACTGTGAAACCATCTGGGCCAGGTGCTTTATCCCTTTTCTTTGTTGAACTCCAACTTGGTCCGTATTGATGATGAGGTCCAGGACCATAATGCTGATGAGGTCCAGTGTTATAATGGTGATGAGGACCAGAGAGGAGGTGACGACGATGATGAGGGCCAGGTCTCCAGCTTGCCTAATGAAAATGAGGTCCAGAGATTAATTGTACAAATTTAAAGTTTTCTTTTCATTTGCTAAACTCTTTTCTTTTTGAGAAAGTTTCATTTGTTGAACTCTTCCAACTAGGTCCGTAATGATGATGAGGTCGGGGACTTTAATGATGTCCGTGATGCTGGCATCGATGTCACTGGCCAAGTGCAACAAACAAAGATAAAATACTAATAGCAATGACCTCATGAGGTCCAGGGATTAATGGTACAAATATAAAGTTTTCTTTTCATTTGCTGAATTCTTTTTTTTTTAGAAGGTTTCATTTGTTGAACTCTGCCAACTAGGTTCGTAATGATGATGAGGTCGGGGACCTTAATAATGTCCGTGATGCTGACATCGATGTCATTGGCCAGGTGCAACAAACAAAGTAAAATACTAATAGCAATGACCTCAGTGTTCACTACTTCCCAACAGTATTTGAAAAAGGCCACTGTGAAACCATCTGGGCCAGGTGCTTTATCCCTTTTCTTTGCTGAACTTCAACTTGGTCCGTATTGATGATGAGGTCCAGGACCATAATGCTGATGAGGTCCAGTGTTATAATGGTGATGAGGACTAGGGAGGAGGCGGCGACGATGATGAGGGCCAGGTCTCCAGCTTGCCTAATGATAATGAGGTCCAGGGATTAATTGTACAAATTTAAAGTTTTCTTTTCATTTGCTGAACTCTTTTTTTGTAAGAAAGTTTTATTTGTTGAACTCTTCCAACTAGATCCGTAATGATGATGAGGTCGGGGACCTTAATGATGTCCATGATGCTAGCATCGATATCACTGGCCAGGTGCAACAAACAAAGGTAAAATACTAATAGCAATGACCTCATGAGGTCCAGGGATTAATGGTACAAATTTAAAGTTTTCTTTTCATTTGCTGAATTCTTTTTTTTTTTGAGAAAGTTTCATTTTTTGAACTCTGTCAACTAGGTCCGTAATGATGATGAGGTTGGGGACCTTAATGATGTCCGTGATGCTGGCATCGATGTCATTGGCCAAGTGCAACAAACAAAGTAATATACTAATAGTAATGACCTCAGTGTTCACTACTTCCCAACAATATTTGAAAAAGGCCACTGTTAAACCATCTGGGCCAGGTGCTTTATCCCTTTTCTTTACTGAACTCCAACTAGGTCCGTATTGATGATGAGGTCCAGGACCATAATGCTGATGAGGTCCAGTGTGATAATGGTGATGAGGACCAGGGATGAGGCGACGACGATGATGAGGGCCAGGTCTCCAGCTTGCCTAATGATAATGAGGTCCAGGGATTAATTGTACAAATTTAAAGTTTTCTTTTCATTTGCTGAACTCTTTTTTTGTAAGAAAGTTTCATTTGTTGATCTATTCCAACTAGTTCCATAATGATGATGAGGTCGGGGACCTTAATGATGTCCATGATGCTGGGATCGATGTCACTGGCCAGGTGCAACAAACAAAGATAAAATACTAATAGCAATGACCTCATGAAGTCCAGGGATTAATGGTACAAATTTATAGTTTTCTTTTCATTTGTTGAATTCTTTTTTTTTTTTTTGAGAAAGTTTCATTTGTTGAACTCTGCCAACTAGGTCCGTAATGATAATGAGGTCGGGGACCTTAATGATGTCCGTGATGCTGGAATCGATGTCATTGGCCAGGTGCAACAAACAAAGTAAAATACTAATAGCAATGACCTCAGTGTTCACTACTTCCCAACAGTATTTGAAAAAGGCCACTGTGAAACCATCTGGGCCAGGTGCTTTATCCCTTTTCTTTGCTGAACTCCAACTTGGTCCGTATTGATGATGAGGTCCAGTGTTATAATGGTGATGAGGACCAGGGAGGAGGCGGCGACGATGATGAGGGCCAGGTCTCCAGCTTGCCTAATGATAATGTGGTCCAGGGATTAATTGTACAAATTTAAAGTTTTCTTTTCATTTGCTGAACTCTTTTTTTTAAAGAAAGTTTCATTTGTTGAACTCTTCCAACGAGGTCCGTAATGATGATGAGGTCGTGGACCTTAATAATGTCCGTGATGCTGACATCGATGTTATTGGCCAGGTGCAACAAACAAAGGTAAAATACTAATAGCAATCACTTCATGAGGTCCAGGGATTAATGGTACAAATTTAAAGTTTTCTTTTCATTTGCTGAATTCTTTTTTTTTTTAGAAAGTTCCATTTGTTGAACTCTGCCAACTAGGTCCGTAATGATGATGAGGTCGGGGACCTTAATGATGTCCGTGATGCTGGCATCGATGTCATTGGCCAGGTGCAACAAACAAAGTAAAATACTAATAGCAATGACCTCAGTGTTCACTACTTCCCAACAGTATTTGAAAAAGGCCACTGTTAAACCATCTGGGCCAGGTGCTTTATCCCTTTTCTTGGCTGAACTCCAACTTGGTCTGTATTGATGATGAGGTCCAGGACCATAATGCTGATGAGGTCCAGTGTGATAATGGTGATGAGGACTAGGGAGGAGGCGGCGACGATGATGAGGGCCAGGTCTCCAGCTTGCCTAATGATAATGAGGTCCAGGGATTAATTGTACAAATTTAAAGTTTTCTTTTCATTTGCTGAACTCTTTTTTTCTTGAGAAAGTTTCATTTGTTGAACTCTTCCAACTAGTTCCATAATGATGATGAGGTCGGGGACCTTAATGATTTCCATGATGCTGGCATCGATGTCACTGCCAGGTGCAACAAACAAAGATAAAATACTAATAGCAATGACCTCATGAAGTCCAGGGATTAATGGTACAAATTTATAGTTTTCTTTTCATTTGTTGAATTCTTTTTTTTTCCGAGAAAGTTTCATTTGTTGAACTCTGCCAACTAGGTCCGTAATGATAATGAGGTCGGGGACCTTAATGATGTCCGTGATGCTGGCATCGATGTCATTGGCCAAGTGCAACAAACAAAGTAAAATACTAATAGCAATGACCTCAGTGTTCACTATTTCCCAACAATATTTGAAAAAGGCCACTGTGAAACCATCTGGGTCAGGTGCTTTATCCATTTTCTTTGCTGAACTCCAACTTGGTCCGTATTGATGATGAGGTCCAGGACCATAATGCTGATGAGGTCCAGTGTTATAATGGTGATGAGGACCAGGGAGGAGGCGGCGACGATGATGAGGGCCAGGTCTCCAGCTTGCCTAATGATAATGAGGTCCAGGGATTAATTGTACAAATTTAAAGTTTTCTTTTCATTTGCTGAACTCTTTTTTTTTGAGAAAGTTTCATTTGTTGAACTCTTCCAACTAGGTCTGTAATGATGATGAGGTCGGGGACCTTAATGAGGTCTGTGATGCTGGCATCGATGTCACTGGCCAGGTGCAACAAACAAAGGTAAAATACTAATAGCAATGACCTCATGAGGTCCAGGGATTAATGGTACAAATTTAAAGTTCCTACTTTGGGGCGCTCTGGCTGGCGCGACACACCACACCCCGACCTAGAAAACCCGACGAATTTCTTTGCTCGTTTGCCTACCCTAACTCGCTTAGAATCGAACAGTTTCTTCCTCAATCACTTAAAATTGATTACTTAACATAAGTACACTCTAATCTACTCAATACATCATTTAAAACACTCACTTTGATATCAATAAATCATCTAAAACCCAACACAACAAGATTTAGAATGATCTTCAAGAACACCTATCAAGAACTCAAATCTTTCAACTTCAAGAATGAAATTTGCGCTGAAAATAACAGGTTTGGTGTGTGGGTGAAAAAACTCAACACTATGGAAGCTTACATACCTCTTAGGGATCAAACCCATGGTGAAAATCTGCTACAATACGCAAGAATCTCGACGAACGATTGATCCTCTCCTATTTTCTCCTTTTTTCTCTTCTTGAACTCTCAATTAAAATCCTAGATGTATTTTAGGATTATAAAACTGAACCTAATAGTATTAGACCCTTAAAACCTTACTAAAAATGAATGAAATCTGATTTGGTAAGGAAAAGACCAAAATATCCCTTACTATTTTCGGCTAACTTTCCTTAACTAGACAACCTAACTTCAAAAGGTCATATCTCACTCATCCAACCTTGAAACTTAGCAAAATCGGCGGCGTTGGAAAGATAATTCAAAAGTCTTTCCTACGGTATCTTGTAGTACATCTAACTCATCCTGTGATAGGAGTAATGATCATTTCAAGTTGACCCAAAACTCATAATAACTTAAGCATAACTTGCAAAATTTCAGATCTTGCTATTTCCAATTTAGTTCTTTTTTGAACTCAAAGTGCTACATCTAGTAAACTTAACACTTAAGAAATTTTAATTCTCGGTAAAATCCTACTCACAACGAAGGATGGTTCAACTCTTAGCTCAAAAATTTTCTAGGGTGTAACAAGTAGCTTATTTGGTTTGTGTTCGAGAGGTTTTCAGATGAGTTTCGTCCTTTGGGTGATTTTAAAGATTTTTGGGTGCTTTGGTATTGTTATAGCAAATTGTGCCAACTAAAAAGTTTGTTATTAGTTTTAATGTTTAAGTCATATGTGGCCCCTTAAAGTTGTCCGCATAATTCATTTGAACACCTCAACTGGAGCTAGTACCTATTGAACACCTAAAATATTCAAAATGTGTATTTATTAAACACAAAATACTGATATGGCAAAAAACATGTTCTTCACATTCCATGAGTGCGTGAAGATACCAAATGATATTTTTCAGTTTCTTTTTCCTGAAAAAGTACAATTTTTTGCTTTATTGATCCTTGACTTTAATTAATAAAGAAACCAAAAAATAAAATAAACTAACAATTAAAAAAAACAAGTCTTCTTCATTGCCTCAATGATTTCCATCCAACATAATTCCACACTTTCTGTACTTACTTCTCATGCCACCTCACCCCTCCAACTTTCTCTCTTTCTCTCATCCTCTCCAATTATTCTCCTGTCTTTTCCTTCTTCTTTTTTTTCAGGTTTTTAATATTTCGTCGAAACTTCATTTATTTTGATGAAATTAAACTGAATCATTTTTTTCCAACAAAAGTTTGTTATTGTTTTTTGTAACTGTGATAAATGTTTATTAATCGAAAGACGATGAAGACAATGGGTAGAAGGTGTTGTCGATGCCGATGAAAGGGGATAAAAGAGCGGGGAGATGATTTATTTGCGTGTCAATCGGACGGAAAGGGGAAACAGTCGAAGAAGAAGACGGGAGGGTGGGGCGTTAATTAAAAGAGTTACTATTTATTATTTCTTAAAATTCTTTTCAGATTATTTAAATAGAATTTTTTTTAAATTGAATTCAACTGCCACGTGTCATTGTTCCATTGGTACACCTGTTATGTATTTGCGTTTGAGCTACACACAATTTTATTTTTCAACTGATTATCATTTTGTGTTTAATAGATATAAATTTCTCAAGGTTAAAGTGTTCAATAGGTACTAGCCCTAGTTGAGGTGTCTAAATGAATTATCCGGACAACTTTAAGAGGCCGCATATGACTTAAGCCTAGTTTTAAAGATAAAACAATTGTTCCAAAACTTTTGAAAGTTTGAGCATGAATTATATCGATAAAGTTTGATGTATTTTCGCAAAGTTGAAATTAGACTTTTATCATGATAAATGAAATTATTATTTATTGAGCAAAAATAATATTTTTCTGGACAAATGAGCACATAATTGAGTCTCGATCGAATTCATAGGTCTGTATCATTATGTAAGACATAAAGGAAAAAGAATCAAGACATTTCGCTATCGTTTGAGGAAGTAGAGTCCTTTTTAATTAAATCAAAGTTGCTGGTTTTCTAGTATAAAATTTTGTTGCACGTGTATTTAAGAATTCACTCTGTGTGTATTTGATATTTGAGCATATTGAAAGTTTTAAAGTTTAGAATAGAGTGATTTTTTGTGACATTCTTCTTTATTTAATTTGAGGGTTGAAGAGTTCAGAATGAAGGATTAATTGTGTTTATTTGATATTTTAAGCATATTAAAAGCTCTAAAACAAAGACTGGAGCTGAGAAAGAAGTCTATAGACGTTCGACTTAAGTATTGTGTCAGAAATAAAGAAGTTTGCAATAACTTTTCATATATTTTGCTCTCTTTTATTATGCTCAATTTTTTTTTTAATCTTTTTTTCTTTCCAACAAATCTGGTATCAGAGCAAGGATCAGTTTTTGAAATTAAGTAAATTGTACTCCCTTCATTTCATTTTATGTGACACCATTTTACCGAACACGAATTTTAAAAAATAAAGAAAGACTTTGAGACGATTACCTAATTGCCCTTCAAAAACTACTTCTATTAAATTTTAAAAAGAAAATGTACTTGCAATTCGAAAAAAAAGTATACTCACTTTTCGATTTTTTTTATTTTGAGCGAGGTACAACCAATAAAAGTTGTATGTGGATTCATTAACTTTTTAACACGTGGATTGTGGGTCCAATTTGTCCTTCAAATCCGTACAAGAAATCAAAAGGAGAGAGAATATAAATTTTGAGTGAAAATTAATAAGAAAATGCGGGGTCCACGCCAACTAAAATTAAATAAATTAGTAAATTATTGAATGAAATGTGCATGTGAAGCTCAATTATCACTCATTCCAACAAAATTCTAGCAACTCCTTTATGAGTTTTCTTCTTCTTCTTGAACATAAAAAAAATTTACATTATTTTTCAGCTAATTAATTTCAATAAAAAATCAAAGATGCATGTTCAACTATTGAAATTAAACATGCAATTTTCTTGAAGAGTGGTGTTTCAACGTTGGATATCTTGTCAATGTAAAAATAAAAAAAGTTGATAGTGTTGTTGATGCTTAAAAAATTGAAAAATTGATGTTTATCTTGATTATTCCCTCTAAATCTTGCTCAATCACTTTAATCTTCGTCTGCAATTTTTCGCTGTCCTCGTTCCTCTTTTTTTTTTCCTACTATGCAGTGTGCAATAAAACACATTCAATCCAATATTTTACTAATATATTTAGTGGAATTTGGTGTGGACCCCACATTTTCCTTTTAATTTTCAATCAAAATTTATTTTCTCTCTCATTTTGATTTCTTGTACATATTTGAAAGACAAATTGGGACCACAATCCATATGCTAAAAAGTTAATAGATCCTCATACAACTTTCGTTTGTTGTACCTCGCTCAAAATAATTTTTTTCTCACTTTTCTATTTCCTCATAAATGTATTGATGGAGGAAAAGTTTTATTATGTTTGAGACATAGTTATGATTTGGCATACAAAATTTGTATAATGATTTTCACACATTTTGTCAAGTAAATTATTGGGTCCCATTTTGAGAAAAAACCAAAATCTCCCCCATTTTTTCTCTCTCTTTCTTTTTGAACATTTTCTATTTTTGTTCAATTTTTCCTACTCTTTCTTTGAACTATTATTTTAAATTTTACTACTTTTTTATCTTAATATTTTTTATTCACAAAAAGAGTAAAATTTAATATATCTTGCCGAATTCATCATATTTTTAACATTTAGATATTATTTCTTTTATCTCATATTAGTTATCTACATAACTAAAAAATAGTTATTTAAAATTACTTCTTAATTAACAAGATTATTATTTTATTTATAATTTCTTAAAGGACGTATAAAAGAAAAAGTGAACAATTAATATAAAATATACTAGTGCACTACAAGAAAAGAGCAAAATTGTGACAGACGATTCTATCACAAATCTGTCACAAAAAATTAAAACTTACACCCAAATCAGTTAGGTAAAGGATCCAGTGTAATAATTTGATAAATAACAATAAAAAAAAACTATATAATAATGAAGAGAATAATGGACCCAATATCAAAAACTAAAAATTATTCATTTTATAAAATCGATTCAAGAAAAATAGAGACAAATCTCAGCAAGAGTATAAAGAATCAAAATATTGTTCATTGTAGATAAAATGAAAAGAAAAGATTCATACCTATGAGCAATATAACAACGGAATCAAAGTTTAGATGAATTCAAATTCACAACTATAGTGTTGAAAGAGTGAGAGATAGAAAAAAGGAAGAACACCCATTGTAGTTCTCTGACTTCTCTCTAGAACCCTAATTTTCTAATGGAATAAAGGAGTTAAAAGGTGGGAAAACTAAAAGTGCTGAAATTTTTGGGGGAAAGTTAAAAGGTCATCTAATATTTTTTAATTTTTTTACGGAAAAAATGGTTCATTAAGTTAAAGATTTTATAATTTATTGTCTTTTTTATTAAATTGAGACGGAATGTAAATCCGTCATAATTTTTGTGATGATTTTGGTGACGACATATATTCATTTATTTTTATTTGCTATCATTTTGTGACGGAAATGTTCTGTCACAAAACTTATATTAAATATTTGTTACAAATCTGTCACAAATTCGTCACTATCAGAATTTTAGTAT